GAGCTGAGAGTGTTAACTGTGTGAGCTGAGAGTGTTGACTGTGTGAGCTGAGAGTGTTGACTGTGAGCTGAGAGTGTTGACTGTGTGAGCTGAGTGTGTTAAGTGTGCCGAGTGAGCTGGGAATGTTACTGTGTCAGCTGACAGTACCTAGGTGTTGACTGAGCTGGGAATGTTACTGTGTCAGTTGAGAGTACCTAAGTGTTGACTGAGCTGGGACTGTTTACTGTGTCAGCTGACAGTACCCAGGTGTCGACTGTGCTGGGACTGTTTACTGTGTCAGCTGACAGTACCCAGGTGTCGACTGAGCTGGGACTGTTTACTGTGTCAGCTGACAGTACCCAGGTGTCGACTGTGCTGGGACTGTTTACTGTGTCAGCTGACAGTACCCAGGTGTCGACTGAGCTGGGACTGTTTACTGTGTCAGCTGACAGTATCCAGGTGTCGACTGAGCTGGTAATTCCCAGGAGACCTCAGGTACATCCCTGGACGTACTTTCCTTCCCCAGGATAACAACGATGGGTTACCTACCTAACATGAGGCAGAAACAGAGTTCTTCTCTCTTATTTTCCTCACTGTAATCACGATTATTTTGATACGGTGTCCCGTAGCTCGGGTGGTAGCGAACTCACCTCACACACTAAGTATCCGTGGTTCGATCCCCGGTAGGTGATGAAACACCGAATGTATTCATTTAAGACACGTGCTGTCTATGTTCACCTATCAGTAAGTAGGTACCTGGGTGTTAGTCGACGGGTGTGGGTCACAACCTGGGCGACAAAACTGACCTAATTTGCCCGAAATGCTCTGGATAACCATATGCGTTTTATGTCACTGATGTCAACTATGGTCTGTATAAGTTGTATCGTGTATTTAACAAGTACATAAGAACATAAGAACATAAGAATGTAGGAACACTGCAGAAGGCCTACTGGCCCATACGAGGCAGGTCCTTATCAAAACGACATCTACCTAAAGCTACTCAAGAAATAACTCCCGTACCCCTTAACACCAATCAAACCCAGCATGTACATGTACCAGTACATGTACCAGTACATGTACAAGGTATACAGACCATAGCTGACATCAATGACATACTACTATATAGAAAGTCCATTGTAATGCTGAGCATTTCCCACAAATTAGGTCAGTTTTGTCCCAGGATGCGACCCACATCAGTCCACTAACACCCAAGTACCTATTTTGAACTGATGGGTGAACAGGGACAGCAGGTGTCTTATAGAAGTAAGTCCCTAATGTTTGGGAACTCCGGGAGGAACTCCCTGGCTCGCTACCCTCACCCTCCAGTGTTACACATAATTACACAGTTACGTTTTAAAATGAGTACGTGAACGACCTCTGGAGTTATTAAGCTATTTAGATTATATTTTTAGATTTTCCATCGAATTGGCTAGTTTACGGCCAGTGGGACACGTATGAGGCACGGCCAGTGGGACACGTATGAGGGACGGCCAGTGGGACACGTATGAGGCACGGCCAGTGGGGCACGTATGAGGGACGGCCAGTGGGACACGTATGAGGGACGGCCAGTGGGACACGTATGAGGGACGGCCAGTGGGACACGTATGAGGGACGGCCAGTGGGACACGTATGAGGGACGGCCAGTGGGACACGTATGAGGGACGGCCAGTGGGACGTATGAGGGACGGCCGTAGGTTGCAGGTTTTACTGGTACTCTTGTGTAAGTTGTGGCGAGTACACAGGTAATAATGTCTTACCTGGGGGCAGGACGCCGGCATATAACATTAACATGTAATATTAACATGCCTAACTTTAATTAACTAGTAGCAGTGTACTACTGTGTTTTGTAATCTGTGAAATATATTGTTATGTAGAATATTTGTATATTTTAAGGACCTACGTTGCATGGGCCAGTAGGCCTTCTGCAGTGTTCCACTGTTATGTTCTTATTTTTCTAAAGGTGAGTTTATCTGTTCTTTCTAATGATAAAACCCAAAGTATTTAGCACCTTTATAACATTCTATGAAGGAATTTACTAAGTATGAGTGGCCTAAGGGTAAGTTATTTTAAATAATAACTTACGGTGTATATACACTGGCGAATTTATACTTGACGGTGTATATTGAATGTGTATTATAAATCTTGAAAAAACGAGTAATGTCCCTACTCATTCTTCTTTCGTTGGGCCATCGATCTATCGTGAGGTCAGTAGGCCGGTCAGGAGTGTCCTATTTGTTGCTCATGGTCACCTGGCAGCTAGGAACGGAAGATTCGTGAAGAATTAGACACATGTGCAACATCCGGGTATCTTTATTTTAGATGTTTCGCCATCCAGTGGCTTTATTAATACAAATTCAAGGGTATAGATGGAAGACAGCAGAACTGTGTACAAAAGCTGGGGTAAGGAGTCCCTCAGCCTTGAAGAGCACCGTAGTGGTGAAGAATGTGAAGCAGAGTCATGAAGGCTGGTTCTTATATACTGGCGTCTGGTGAGGGACGTGTAGCAGACGATGACACTGTCACTGGAAGGCGGGATTACCCAGTGGTAGTAGGTCATGCCCTAGGGACGACACTGTCACTGGTAGGTGGGATTACCCAGTGGTAGTAGGTCATACCCTAGGGACGACACTGTCACTGGTAGGTGGGATTACCCAGTGGTAGTAGGTCATACCCCAGGGACGACACTGTCACTGGTAGGCGGGATTACCCAGTGGTAGTAGGTTATACCCTAGGGACGACACTGTCACTGGTAGGTGGGATTACCCAGTGGTAGTAGGTCATACCCTAGGGACGACACTGCCACTGGTAGGTGGGATTACCCAGTGGTAGTAGGTCATGCCCTAGGGACGACACTGTCACTGGTAGGTGGGATTACCCAGTGGTAGTAGGTCATACCCTAGGGACGACACTGCCACTGGTAGGCGGGATTACCCAGTGGAAGTAGGTCATACCCCAGGGACGACACTGCCACTGGTAGGCGGGATTACCCAGTGGTAGTAGGTCATACCCTAGGGACGACATTGCCACTGGTAGGCGGGATTACCCAGTGGTAGTAGGTCATACCCTAGGGACGACATTGCCACTGGTAGGCGGGATTACCCAGTGGTAGTAGGTCATACCCTAGGGACGACATTGCCACTGGTAGGCGGGATTACCCAGTGGTAGTAGATTGAAATTAAGACACATGTGCAACATCTGGGTATCTTTATTGTAGACGTTTCGCCATCCAGTGGCTTTATCAATACAAATTCTAGGACATAACTTGAAGACAGTAGGACTATATACAGAAGATGAGGTAATCAGTCCCTCAACCTAGGAGTAGGTGCGAAGAGCACCATAGTCGTGGAGATTCTGAAGCAGAAGCAAGGAGCCTGGCGCTTATATAGTAACGTCAGGTGTAGCAGACGAGGGCATAGTCACTGGTAGGCGGGATTTCCCAGTGGAAGTAGGTCCTTCCCAAAGAGATGGGTTAATTTCATCTTGTCGGTATTATATACCATTCTTACACAACTTGTCAGACACTGCAACATCATGGAATCTTGATTCTGAGGACATGTACATAACCTTCACGACTACGACAACTACTACTACAACTAACCCATCTCTTTGGGAAGGACCTACTTCCACTGGGGAATCCCGCCTACCAGCGACTATGCCTTCGTTTGCTACACCTGACGTTACTATATAAGCGCCAGGCTCCTTGCTTCTGCTTCAGAATCTCCACGACTATGGTGCTCTTCGCACCTACTCCTAGGTTGAGGGACTGATTACCTCATCTTCTGTACATAGTTCTACTGTCTTCAAGTTATGTCCTAGAATTTGTATTGATAAAGCCACTGGATGGCGAAACGTCTACAATAAAGATACCCAGATGTTGCACATGTGTCTTAATTTCATCTTGTCGGTATTATATACCATTCTTACACAACGTAGGCGGGATTACCTAGTGGAAGTATAACATCCTTCCCAACAACCAGGTTGCACTGAACGTTTCCAAGGTACTCGCACAAACTAACACTAGAGTCGTCATCGCATCCAGCACTTCCATAAGGGATCTAACCAGGACAAAATCGATCCACCATGAACCAGTCAATGCAGGAGTTTATACTACACCTTGTGGAAGCTGTGACAAGATGTAAAGTAAAAGTTCCTGGAGAGCGAAACGTTGCCACAATAAAATGTCACATTAGTTGCACTCGTGTCCTTTTACTTTATATATTATCGGTAATTCTACCAACATTATTACACAATGTGACAAGATATATGCAGGTGAAACAGCTAAGAACCTCGACACCCGCCTCAGTGAACACATTAACGCATGTAGGAATAATAACGTGAACAACGCCTGTGTACAACACCGAAATTCTACCAATCACCCCATGAAATTTAACGACGCCCGACTAGTAATCAGAGAACCTAATTTCCGCAGACGTAAATGCCTTGAATCATCATTAATCGCAAAATAAAGGCAGCTTCATCATCTCTGAAGTATTAGCAGAAATCCTCGTCAGAACAATAATCCTGCCATCACATAGTCTCTGCTACACAGGAACACAACACACGAGGAACACTGAAACACTTTCTCACATCCAGCCACCAACACAAATATTTGTCTAAATTATTTTTGTTACCCAAGTAATAACTTTCATAACCTTTTACACATGTGTAAGTTAATTGTTCTATCATATTGTTACTACTATTGACAAGTGTGACTTTGTCAATGGTCCAAGTCGGACCGAAACGTCGTCGTAAGCTTCTCTCTTTTATGTGCGGGTTATTTGTGTACAAGTTATGTTACTAGTACTACCACCACTAGTACTGCACTTCACTCTGAGCCTATATATACCCTCTGTGTCCATGTATTATTTGTAACGGCTTGACAAAGCTCCTGGAGAGCGAAACGTTGCTACAATAAAATGTCAAATTAGTTACACTTGTGTCCTTTTACTTTACATATTGTCGGTAATTCTACCAACATTAATACAACTCGAACGTTCTATAATAAGTTTGCGTCATGACAGATGAGGTTAGCGACTACACAGCTGCTGGTGATAGTGATGAGTGTGATGGTGTATACCAGAGGTCAGGTGATGAGTGAATTACTCCCCCGGGGTACTGACAGCACCTCACCCGTGGCCACCAGATTACTCACTATACTCAACAAATATGACGCTCGTATTAATGAAACTACGGTAAGAGCATGAACCAAAATTTTATTGTTATGGAATATTAATATAGCATAACACTGTAAATTATTATTCTTATTGTTATTCTTTTTCAAAAATGATTGTGTTGACACTGTAATATATTTCCGACTGGTCAAGAAAGTTGTTGACATTACCATAACCGAACCTACACGGACACAACAAAATGACTGATAAGTATTAATGCATATGCCTTACGGTGAGAGCCGACTGTTGTGGGTCTCATCCCTCGGGTGTGAAAGCCTGCCTTTTATTTAGTTAGGCTTTGAAATAAGCTGAGATTGATTATAGTTCTTAGTTTGAAAATTCAACAGCGTACAAACAAAGGTGTGTCTCTCTTAGATTTCTCTACTGGAGTGGTGGCGGTCAGTGGCCTCCACTACGTACCATCAATACGACAACATTTGTATTTGTAAATATACAGGGGTCTAAAGCCATCAACAAACAGTGGACTGCTCCTCACAGAGTCAAAGGCAATGTTTACAGCTTTCACAGAGACCCACATGAAGGATCACTTTGACGACGAACTGCGGATCGCAGGTTCTAACTTATTGCGGTGCGACAGAAAGAACAATCAACACGGGAAGGTTGGCCTGTACGTCACAGTGTCACTCACTTGCTCGGAACTACTAAACATCCGAAATGATGTAGTTGAAATTTTGGCAGTAAAGACTAAAAACCAAAACCTTGCCATTGTGGTGGTATATAAGCCACCAGATACAACTTGCCAAGAATTCAAGGAACACTTTTCGAAAATTGACCAGTGTCTGGAAAATTTTCCAACTTCTGCCCCAAAAATCTTCTTCCTGGATGACTTCAACTTAAGACACCTAAAATGGAGGAAAGTGGAGAATAATGTTACAGCAGACATAAAACCAGAAGGCAGCAGAAACTCAGATAAAAATTCACACATCTGAACCATTAGAAGGCAGTAGCTGCCTCTTCTGTACACGACTGAAGAAGCCTACCGTGTAGGCGGAATGTTTCGCAATAAGGTAACCTAACTATTGCACTTGTGTTTTTTTCATCATGATAACGGTATTGTATACCATCATGATAATGGTATTGTATACCATCATGATAATGGTATTGTATACCATCATGATAATGGTATTGTATACCATTATCATATTAGGACTCACTTGCCATGGGTTCAAACCCCACCTGTTCCATGATTTGTTTGCTAGAGTGAGTCATGATGACCCTTGACATCACTACCCTTGACATCACTACCCTTGACATCACTACCCTTGACATCACTACCCTTGACATCACTACCCTTGACATCACTACCCTTGACATCACTGTAATAATGTCAAGCTGTAGAACTAGACATGTGTGTACTCACCTAGTTGTGGTTGCAGGGGTCGAGTCATAGCTCCTGGCCCCTGTGTGTGTGTCTTGATATCTCCAATTTTGGAAGCAAAGACGGACGTGTTTCACACTGATTAGACACATGTTCAACATTTGGGGATCTTTATTGAGGAAAACGTTTCGCCAACCAGTGGCATCATCAGTCCAATAGAATGGTGAAGCTTAGGATTGTGAGGTAATCAGTCCCTCAGTTTGCAGTATATAAGCCCCTTCTTGCATATCCTGTGATTTTAACAAGATAGGTGGACTGATTACCTGGAGTTTACCTGGAGAGAGTTCCGGGGGTCAACGCCCCCGCGGCTCGGTCTGTGACCAGGCCTCCTGGTGGATCAGAGCCTGATCAACCAGGCTGTTGCTGCTGGCTGCACGCAAACCAACGTACGAGCCACAGCCCGGCTGGTCAGGAACCGACTTTAGGTGCTTGTCCAGTGCCAGCTTGAAGACTGCCAGGGGTCTGTTGGTAATCCCCCTTATGTGTGCTGGGAGGCAGTTGAACAGTCTCGGGCCCCTGACACTTATTGTATGGTCTCTTAACGTGCTAGTGACACCCCTGCTTTTCATTGGGGGGATGGTGCATCGTCTGCCAAGTCTTTTGCTTTCGTAGTGAGTGAGTGAGGCTGAGGGACTGATTACCTCAGTAATAAAAAAACAATACATAGTTAAATACCGAGGCTGCGTCAAATCATTGGTATTAACATGATAAATATCTCTATTTCATTCGTATTTAAAACATGTCTGTGCCTGAAATAAACACTGATTACATTTTGCGTTACATTATCCGCTCAAGTAGGAATTACCTTTTCTCTGATTACTGTTTACGAAACATATCTTGCAAGATAATGATAAATACTGATGACTTTGATGACAATTAATGTACCTACATTGCAGCCACAGCTAATCAAGTCCAATGGCTACCCAGTAGAGAGTCACCAGGTTACTACGGAAGATGGTTATATCCTGGAGCTACACAGGATTCCTTGTAGTGGGAAGGAAGGAGCTGCAGCGGAGGGCGCAAACAGGTACAAGCTACGACCTGTGGCCTTCCTGCACCACTGTCTTCTCTGCTCCTCCTCAGACTTTATAATGAACACCCCAGACAAGGCTCTCGGTAGGTAGAATACCCCAGACAATGTTCATGGTAGGTAGAATACCCCAGACAATGTTCATGGTAGGTAGAATACCCTAGACAATGTTCGTGGTAGGTACACTACCCCAGACAATGTTCGTGGTAGGTAGAATACTCCAATGTTCGTGTTAGGTAGAATACCCCAGACAGTGTTCATGGTAGGTAGAATACCCCAGACAATGTTCATAGCAGGTAGAATACCCCAGACAATGTTCATGGTAGGTAGAATACCCCAGACAATGTTCTTGGTAGGTAGAATACCCCAGACAGTGTTCATGGTAGGTAGAATACCCCAGACAATGTTCATAGCAGGTAGAATACCCCAGACAATGTTCATGGTAGGTAGAATACCCCAGACAATGTTCATAGCAAGTAGAATACCCCAGACAATGTTCATGGTAGGTAGAATACCCCAGACAATGTTCATGGTAGGTAGAATACCCCAGACAATGTTCATGGTAGGTAGAATACCCCAGACAATGTTCATAGCAGGTAGAATACCCCAGACAATGTTCATGGTAGGTAGAATACCCCAGACAATGTTCATGGTAGGTAGAATACCCCAGACAATGTTCTTGGTAGGTAGAATACCCCAGACAATGTTCATAGCAGGTAGAATACCCCAGACAATGTTAGTGGAAGGTAGAATACCCCAGACAATGTTCGTGGTAGGTAGAATACCCCAGACAATGTTCGTGGTAGGTAGAATACCCCAGACAATGTTCGTGGTAGGTAGAATACCCCAGACAATGTTCGTGGTAGGTAGAATACCCCAGACAATGTTCGTGGTAGGTAGAATACCCCAGACAATGTTCATGGTAGGTAGAATACCCCAGTGTTCATGTTAGGTAGAATACCCCAGACAATGTTCTCGGTAGGTAGAATACCCCAGACAATGTTCGTGGTAGGTAGAATACCCCAGACAATGTTCTCGGTAGGTAGAATACCCCAGACATTGTTCGTGGTAGGTAGAATACCCCAGACAATGTTCGTGGTAGGTAGAATACCCCAGACAATGTTCTTGGTAGGTAGAATACCCCAGACAATGTTCGTGGTAGGTTGAATACCCCAGACAATGTTCTTGGTAGGTAGAATACCCCAGAGAATGTTCATGGTAGGTAGAATACCCCAGACAATGTTCTTGGTAGGTAGAATACCCCAGACAATGTTCTTGGTAGGTAGAATACCCCTGACAATGTTCTCGGTAGGTAGAATACCCCAGAGAATGTTCATGGTGGGTAGAATACCCCATACAATGTTCGTGGTAGGTAGAATACCCCAGAGAATGTTCATGGTAGGTAGAATACCCCAGACAGTGTTCGTGGTAGGTAGGATACCCCAGAGAATGTTCATGGTAGGTAGAATACCCCAGTGTTCTTGGTAGGTAGAATACCCCAGACAATGTTCATGGTAGGTAGAATACCCAGACAATGTTCGTGGTAGGTAGAATACCCCAGACAATGTTCATGGTAGGTAGAATACCCCAGACAATGTTCATGGTAGGTAGAATACCCCAGACAATGTTCGTGGTAGGTAGAATACCCCAGACAATGTTCATGGTAGGTAGAATACCCTAGACAATGTTCATGGTAGGTAGAATACCCCAGACAATATTTGTGGTAGGTAGAATACCCAAGACAATGTTCGTGGTAGGTAGAATACCCCAGACAATGCTCGTGGTAGGCAGAATACCCCAGACAATGCTCGTGGTAGGTAGAATACCCCAGACAATGTTCGTGGTAGGTAGAATACCCCAGACAATATTTGTGGTAGGTAGAATACCCAAGACAATGTTCTTGGTAGGTAGAATACCCCAGACAATGCTCGTGGTAGGTAGAATACCCCAGACAATGTTCGTGGTAGGTAGAATACCCCAGACAATGTTCTTGGTAGGTAGAATACCCCAGACAATGTTCGTGGTAGGTTGAATACCCCAGACAATGTTCTTGGTAGGTAGAATACCCCAGAGAATGTTCATGGTAGGTAGAATACCCCAGACAATGTTCTTGGTAGGTAGAATACCCCAGACAATGTTCTTGGTAGGTAGAATACCCCTGACAATGTTCTCGGTAGGTAGAATACCCCAGAGAATGTTCATGGTGGGTAGAATACCCCATACAATGTTCGTGGTAGGTAGAATACCCCAGAGAATGTTCATGCTAGGTAGAATACCCCAGACAGTGTTCGTGGTAGGTAGGATACCCCAGAGAATGTTCATGGTAGGTAGAATACCCCAGACAATGTTCTTGGTAGGTAGAATACCCCAGACAATGTTCATGGTAGGTAGAATACCCCAGACAATGTTCGTGGTAGGTAGAATACCCCAGACAATGTTCATGGTAGGTAGAATACCCCAGACAATGTTCATGGTAGGTAGAATACCCCAGACAATGTTCGTGGTAGGTAGAATACCCCAGACAATGTTCATGGTAGGTAGAATACCCTAGACAATGTTCATGGTAGGTAGAATACCCCAGACAATATTTGTGGTAGGTAGAATACCCAAGACAATGTTCGTGGTAGGTAGAATACCCCAGACAATGCTCGTGGTAGGCAGAATACCCCAGACAATGCTCGTGGTAGGTAGAATACCCCAGACAATGTTCGTGGTAGGTAGAATACCCCAGACAATATTTGTGGTAGGTAGAATACCCAAGACAATGTTCTTGGTAGGTAGAATACCCCAGACAATGCTCGTGGTAGGTAGAATACCCCAGACAATGCTCGTGGTAGGTAGAATACCCCAGACAATGTTCGTGGTAGGTAGAATACCCCAGACAATGTTCGTGGTAGGTAGAATACCCCAGACAATGTTCGTGGCAGGTAGAATACCCCAGACAGTGTTCGTTGTAGGTAGAATACCCCAATGTTCATTGTAGGTAGAATACCCCAGACAATGTTCGTGGTAGGTAGAATACCCCAGACAATGCTCGTGGTAGGTAGAATACCCCAGACAATGCTCGTGGTAGGTAGAATACCCAGACAATGTTCGTGGTAGGTAGAATACCCCAGACAATATTTGTGGTAGGTAGAATACCCAAGACAATGTTCGTGGTAGGTAGAATACTCCAGACAATGCTCGTGGTAGGTAGAATACCCCAGACAATGCTCGTGGTAGGTAGAATACCCCAGACAATGTTCGTGGTAGGTAGAATACCCCAGACAATGTTCGTGGTAGGTAGAATACCCCAGACAATGTTCGTGGCAGGTAGAATACCCCAATGTTCATTGTAGGTAGAATACCCCAGACAATGTTCGTGGTAGGTAGAATACCCCAGACAATGTTCGTGGTAGGTAGAATACCCCAGACAATGTTCATGGTAATTAGAATACCCCAGACAATGTTCTTGGTAGGTAGAATACCCCAGTGTTCATGGTAGGTAGAATACCCCAGACAATGTTCGTGGTAGGTAAAATACCCCAGACAATGCTCGTGGTAGGTAGAATACCCCAGACAATGTTCATGGTAGGTAGAATACCCCAGACAATGTTCATGGTAGGTAGAATACCCCAGTGTTCATGGTAGGTAAAATACCCCAGACAATGTTCTCGGTAGTTGGAATACCCAAGACAGTTCTCGGTAGGTCTGTGACCAGGCCTCATGCTGGATCAGGCCCTGATCCACCAGTCTGTTACTGCTGGCTGCACTTAATCCAACTCACGAACATAGCCTGGCTGGTGAGGTACCGACTTTACATGCCTGTCCAGTGCCTGCTTGAAGACAGTCAGAGGTCGATTGGTAATCCCCCTTATGTATGCTGGGAGGCAGTTGAACAGTCTCGGGCTTCTGACACTTATTGTGTTGTCTCTTAACGTGCTAGTGACACCCCTGCTTTTCATGGGGGGATGTTACATCGTCTGCCGAGTCTTATGCTTTCGTAGGGAGTGATTTTTGTGTGCAAGTTTGGTACTAATTCCTCTCGGGTTTTCCAGGTGTATATAATTGTGTATCTCTCCTGCTTACATTCCAGGGAGTACAAGTTTAGTGACTTCAGGCGCTCCCAGTTATTGAGGTGTTTTATTTCCGTTATGCGCGCCATGAAGGTTCTTCTGTACATTTTCTAGGTCAGCAATTTCACCTGCCTTGAAAGGTGCTGTTAGTGTGCAGCAATATTCCTGCCTAGATAGAACAAGCGACCTGAAGAGTGTCATCATGGGCTTGGCCTCCCTAGTTTTGAAGGTTCTCATTATCCATCCTGTCATTTTTCTGGCAGATGCGGTTGATATAATGTTATGGTTCTTTAAGGTGAGAGCTTCCGACATGAGGTCAGGAGTTTCCAGGCCAATTTAGAATGCTTAGTCCACTCTCTTCGAAGAATGTCAGCATTTTTCTGGAAGTGAGGCATATAGCAAGATCCTACTGGAAAATGCCTTCTCCATCAGGAAAGTCTCTGTCTACAGTGGGAAGCAAATGAGTTGCCAGGATTGCCTTGTATTTGTCACTGTTCATCGTTCCCTCAACAATAACAAGCCGTCCAGAGCCTTCAGCAGTAAAACTATCCCAAAACATCGAAGGTGGATGTTATGGCGCTTGTTGAATGTGTCCATTCTGAAGAGGTTCGCCTTTGCTCGGTCTCACTACCACTGATCTGTACCCAAGTGCTTCACAATGCATCACATCTGAGAGTATAACTTTTTTCCATTCATCTGTCGTCCATCCCTTATAAACAAGTGCCTACCGCAGCATTCAGTGTTTCTTTACCGGCTTTCTGGCAGGTCTGGCAACTTTAAGGAACCTTCGTCGAACAGTTTAAGAATCAACATTTACACCTGAAGCCAAATCTCTCTGTAGATCTTTACTGGTTTTCTTGGGATCCTTCACACTGTTTCTTATAACCTTGTCATCGTGAAGTGTTGTCTTGCGTCTGTCTTCCACATCTTCCTGGACACAGCGCTCCACAATAACCAGTGTTGTCAGCTTCAGAATCTCACCAACAGTTGACTGTGCTAGGCCCAAATTTTCAGTGATCTGTCTGATACTC